CAATAGAAAAGAAAACATTATGTGTGAACACGACATGTTGATTTATGATTTGTTTACCAGCGATTGAAATCTTTTTTATTATCCCAGCGCACCAGGCGAAAAGAAAAAGCCAATGTAAACATTGACAAGATTCCTTGTTTTTTAAAAATGGAAAATTAAACGCTAACTTATGTGAATTTTGAAACAGAAATGATCTTTTTGGGCTAATTAATTATACATCCGTGAATGGAAATTTGGAAATTGATTTTTCTATTAAGGAGATTTTAACTTTGTACAATAAAATTAATAAAATCGATTTATTATTTTTTCGTCGTTCTTTTTGTTCCTTTTGATTTCTTCTTTCCACCTTTGCCTTTTTTCTTTTTGTGCTTCTTTGACACTTTTGTGGTTGATAATGTTTCCGAACCTTTCGATGCAGCTGCATCTGTATTGTCATTTGAAGTTGACGGTGGTGATAGTTGAACAACTGAATTTTTCAAAGAGTTTGGTGTCGTTGATGGCATTGATGGCATATTAGATACGACTATTCCATCGTAAAGTGCTTTACTGACATTTGGATCAGCTGTGGATGTAGGTTTGGAACTATCTGTACTACTTGAAGGCGAGCTACTCGATGTTGTAGATGGAGAAGGTTTCGAGCTACTTTGTGAAGGCTGAGTTGGGTCAGGTGACGACGAAGTGGTGCTTGGTGTTGTTGATTTTGGTGGCGGTGGCGTGGAGGTTGGAGGTGGTGGTGGACTGGCTTGTGGTGGTGGTGGTGGTGGTGAAGAATTGCCGCCACCTCCACCATCAACCCAATCCCAAGTAATTGGGACTTTTCCATCGTTAGGATCTCCGATTTTACCAAAAGCGCCCGGTGTAAGATCTAAGCATCCAGATGCACAAGTTGGACATTTATCAGTAATTGTGACTGTGACTGAACCTTTTGGCCCTGTAACGATCGCTTGCTTCCCACAGTAAGGACTCGCATTTGGGTTTGCTGGATTACCCCATTGTGGAGCATTCAATGCCGCAATCATGTCGGAATCAGAATTCGTTATACCGCATGCTCCTAAACCGGCATTATAAAAAGTTGCCACGCCGCTGAAACCGCGTTTTTGCAGTAATGAGAATATTGGCAGTGAACTTGAGGTTGTGGTAAAGAGAGTGAAGCAAAGTGTGATTATCAAGGTTGTTGATTTTATTATGCCGTGCATTTTTGTCGTATTGTTTGTTGTTAATTATTATCCGTACGTAAGGTTTGATACCAAAGAATAATCAAATTTTTTGGTATTGAGATAAAAATTGTGATGATGCTTTGCTGGTTTATTTATAATGAAAAAAAAGGGTATGCTGTCTGCCTGTATTATTTACAAAATAAGTTCGATCAAAATCTAGCTAAAATTGGTAGTTCTATTTTTCACACTTCGTGGTGGTTTGTTTTGTCTTCTTGCTATCTGTGAGATCAACTTAGAGTTTATTTGGATGAGGCTCTGCCTAAATATTGTTCTCTTTTCGTTGACAACAAGTGAATTTATGCACACAATTTATGAATGGATCAATCAGAGACGCATCCCCTTTGCAAAATGAAGAAAAAAAAATGAAAAAAAGAGCACTGCCAAATAACAACGAAAACTAATTCAATTAATTTCGTTGGTTATCAACGAAAAAATCTTTACTTCGTCTTGTATATATAATGAATTTTCGATTGAACTATCGTTTCACAGTTTCATCGATGTATGACTTGCTTTAAACAGTTCATATAAGTGTAGGAATTCCACCATTATTTACTATTTATATAAAGTTCTTCTGCTTATTATTATGTTACATGTTTGTGCATTAATTCACAATTATACAGTGATTGATTAATTCCTTCTTCCTTTATTCGAAAACAAACGCATTTTCTATGATTCTAAGCATTTTCTAATACCATATAAACCCATCCTATGTAATTCTGTAGCAAATCTCAAACGAACATCACATAACGATAACAAGTTGTTCGAAAAAAACAAAGCCAAAAAAGTCGCTTCAAATTTTTGCCGTTGGATGTCAGACATCTCGCGAAAGTTACGCCTCCCTGCCAAAAAAAAAACTTTCATGCATCTCATTATTTCTCGGCAGAACCTATCATTGCTGAGTTAATTAACTAGTACTACTAGAAGGTGTAAGTAAACGGATGTTGAGGTAAATGAAATTCAGGGTTAATGAAACATTTTACAATCGGTATAACGTGATTGTAATATCGGTATTTCGATGTGCATATTCTTGGTGTCACCTATACAACGTAATCACTATATAATCAAAAAGATCCAAGATAGATAATACGCTCGTGAATGACTCGTGGAGGCGTATGTTATGCATTTTTTTGATACAACGTGAATCCATTTATTCATGTTATACAAATGAAAGAGAATAGAAAATTAGATGGAATAACAATCAAGATACGTGTACTAATCGATTTTATATTATCATTTGAAAGCATAAATGTATCCACTTTTTTAGCAATTTTAAATTACATATTGATAAAAAAGATATCATTGAGAAACTGAACGTAATTAATTTACGTCTATCATATATATATATGCATGTACTCGAAGTCTATTTTCTAAATAGAAACAAAAATATTTGTAAATATGATTTCGGATTACTAAAAAAAGAAAACACGTATACTGAGACGAATATATCTATAGTTAAATTGGGAATCGAAAAAACGGTTTGGTGCAATGACGTCTTAACGGATCTGATATGAATTTTATGTATAACGATAAATATTTAAGTATAATGATAAATTATTCTGCATAAAGAAATTTATATAGTTATTTCTGATTTTAAAGTGGATTTTTTAAACTAATTTGAAATGCACTAATTAAATTTGTGTAAAACTATTATCATATAAGCCAAAATTTGAAGAATTATATTTTTAAAGATTATACATTTATTTTTTTAGCTATGAAATATTGAAATATTTCAGAAACAAAGAAATCTAAAATATATTTGAATTGAATTAATTCTTTATATATTAAGGAGGTAACGCGCGTTCTCAAAATAATACATATAAGGCAAGTACGCGAGTCTGCCGCAACTGCATATTTGTTATCTAATGGATTTCGTATCTATATCCTTAGTTAATTGACCTATAATAGCAAATTTCGCTGAAATTCAAAATTATATAGAATATGGAATTATGAACAACTTTACTTAATACATCAAGTTTGTTTGTATACCGTATTTTGCGGAAGTATAAACAACATCACCGTAATTGATTTTTACCTCCCTATCGCTATACATGTATATCGACAAATTTAATTGTCAATTCGACCTTAAATTTTTTTTAAAATTTCCAATTTTTTAATAATAACGATAACTTAAATAGATTTGCATTTGACGTTATTCTTTTAAGCTTCAAAAAAGTAGGGTAAAAAATCAGTACAAGGATATTGATTATATTTCGCAAAAATGATATTAAAAACCCATTTTTTTATACGAACTAAGGTAGTCATGAGTACATAATTCGTGGCATGAACCACCCCTCTAGCATTAGACCCCCAAGATTACCACCCGGGTCTCTATCATGAATAGGAGTTCTGAAAAAGCTCGGATCTGTACTGTAATTCATAGTATAAACCATAGTAATAAACAAGATATATATCATGACTTCGCTCACTGTTGTATCTCGCATATTGCTGTTCTAAAGCTATAAATATATACTGCGTTAATGTTTTCCATTTAGAACCTCTGGACGCTTATAAGGAAGTACTCCACAAATTTTTTGGTTTGAGTATCCATATTTGTGGAATACTAAGCACAAATTTAGCAATTTATGTTTGTGAGCCATTATCAAAATGTTTCAGAGATGAAAGTCACGATGTACAAATTTTTCTTGTGAATTTTTGTTAGCTTATTGTATATCATATAAATATTCTAAATTTTCTTTCCAAGTCGATTTTTCGTATTTGAAATTAATATGTTTCAAAAGATCATTTGTAACCAGAGTTTTTAGGAATGTACATTTTTATTTACCTCCCTCGTGTATAAATTCTTGAGTAATTTGCTTTGAATAATGTAATGATTTCCACATAACTTTGTGTATAATGTGTCGGTTTGAATCATGATTCCATCTACATGTACTAATTAATGGACAATCATCCATAAATTACTCCTTGTGAAAGATATTTATGTTCAAAACTTCAAAAGAAATTCATTTGAATATTAATCTTTTTAATTTTGTTACATTCTTTTATTAGATTGTCCTTCAAAATCATAAATCCGTTTGTAATATTTGAAACATCCAGAGCAGATCGTGTATTTTGTTGACATTTAATAAATTTACAACAATCATGAGTATTGTGACATAAAATTTGCTGCAATGAATATTCGCTTCTATCTTTGAATTCACTTATAAATGCGTTTATAAACATGTTTTTTGAAACAAACGAGGTGACTTATCTAAAATGCAAGCATTACTACACACCATCGAACTATGCACACTTGTATAAAAATTATAAGATATCCCATAATAACTTGCTTCGTGGCATAAACCATCCCGAGCCTGTTACATTCTACCACGGTGTAACTTGGTTAAGAACGGGTGTCGGTTGTATGGGGAGGGTGGTTATATGGGAGTCTGTATACAAAGAAGAGTGGTTTAGATATATGATAATAAAATGATATTATTAACGACATGCAAATAAACTCGTGACCTCAAAATCACGTGAAACACGTGTTTTATTTAATGACGCGTTCTAATTATTGGTGTACGGTCCAAGCTGCCCCTCTGACGTCGAGCCCATTTCAAAAAATTACCAATTTGGATCAAGAATTTATGTAATATAGTTTTCTTTAAATTTGTATTTTATTATTACTTTATAATAAAATCGAATAATGAGGGAATTAATAAAAATTAATAATATAATAAAACTAGCCATTTTTCATTAACTACAAGTTTCTTGAGGGATAGATGGAACAAATTATTTAGATGTAGCCGAAATAAGAAGACGCATTCTAAAATGTTGTTTAAAGTCAAACCTCTCACATCGCCATAAATTTTTTACTTCCGGTGCAAATGATAAAAAACTGACATCACACGAATTTCAAAATTCGCTAATCACGCTATTATTATAATTCTTCTATCTCTCTATGTATAGCCCCACTTTTTCCTCATCAGGACGTCCATGTCTTTCGAATCATTAATCACTAACTCCTTTCGCCCGCTAGCAATGATAATATGTTTATCGAACGGGCTCTTTTCCCGTGTAGACCATGTGGATCATGGTTTCTGACATTTTGATGGTACCGAAAACATCTCCCAATATAAATTATGGTACATCGAGTATTTTTTATAATAGAAAGGTGGAAGCAAAATTGAAAAGAGCGGTCACATGATTTTCGAATATGGTGACTTCAATCTTACATGACTCCAGGGACGATGATTTTCTGCGGTGACTAAAGGTAAATTCCGTCTCAATAATGTATAGTTTCTGCAAAAATTCTGCAATTTTAAAAACTTATAATTCTGCAATAATACTTTAGATTCTGTAATAATTCTGCAATAATAATTCAAATTTGTAATTATTCTGCAGTTTTTTTTATTTATTAAAATATAACATATTCAATGATCTAAGTAAATCTTCAGAAAGATTTTGTCTTAATTTAGATAGAATATTGTTATAGTTTGAAAAACTGCGTTCTACACTGCAACTAGAAATAGGTAACCAAATATGATTCAAAGCTATATTAGACAATAATGGAAATTGATTAATATTACCTCGCCAAAACTCATCTAAATCCAAATTTTCTAATAATTCACTCTTATTCCATCCACAATAATGGCCCATTCTCGTAGTAAATCTTCTGAAGCAAATTCTTGAATAATAGAATATTGTCAAATATCTCTTATTTCAATTGTACCAAAGCAAGCATAAGCAGGATCAAATACTTGACATGCTTTGAATAAAGAATATGAAGAGTGTGTAGAAATATGTGAATTAAATTTTTTAAAGGAAATTTCAAACCTTTTTAACATGATCATCTACTGTTGATTTACGTTTCCATTCAATGGAAATATTACAAAAAATTGCAAAAAAGTAAATCGTCATTAGTATAAAAATGACTGGGAAATTCAGAAATACGAGTTTGAGAAGCGATTTTCTTATGTCGTGCCATCATAAAATTAATTTTTAATCAAAAAAACGCGATTTTTATTCAAAGAGGACATGATATAAGAACGGGGGGTAAATTCGCAATTTCTGCAATCTCTGTAGTTTAATGTGATTTCTAAAGTTCTAATTTCTACAAAAAAAACCCCATTGATCTGCAATTTCTGCATTTTGCAGTCCAGAATGTAGAAATTTTAACAATCTAAATTTTAATGAAATTTTTAAACTCACTACTATAATTGATGTTAAAGAAATGCATTATTTGAATTACACAAGTGTAGACTGGAAGATTTATCAGTAGTCTGAAATTTGATTGGAAATGAATTAGACGGAAATGTGGAAACTACGACGAATTTATCCATTTCTAAATCATATAACAGGGACAAACGGTAAAGAGTCAACATCATCATATATTGACAACATACTATTAAAGCCGTTAACAAACTGGCGGATATAATTCACATCATTTCTTCGAACCACGAGATTCGATTCGAATCAACGTCAAGTAACCGAAAAGATTACAAGCTTCAGTTTATGCGAAAAGTCGCTGCTGATACTGTACATTATTATTTAAAAAAGTTGACTTAGTTGGATTGATGGTACACATGATGTCATGGATTTTTTGATAAGCTTCTTGTAGAGCGATCGGATTGGATCATGAAGAGTTTTTGGGAATGTATTGAAAAAATCGCATATGAGAAAGCAGAGATTATAAAGAATGGAGTCTTGACTGTGATTGGTCTTCAAAAGGGATTAGATACTGTAAATATTATTAAAAAAGAATGGTTGAACCAGCTGTTTTGGATGGGCAAATTAGCCGCTGAAAGTTAATTATGATGAATCTTCATCTATATCAACTATTCGTTTTAAAATTCCACTTGGAGAATATCGATCGCGGTCATTATTGATGCGTAAAACTTCAAAGATCGCATATATTGTAAAAACTAAATGACATTTCTCCTTTAATTAGTGGTCAAAATCAAAAGAAATCAATAATAAATGCAGACGAGCAACAAAGTTCCCACCGCAAAAGAGCTACGAAATTCATTGACCTTTGTAACAGATTTGCTGTATTTATTAAAGAAAAGAGACTCAATTCTACCGATTTCATTCTTACAAGTTGAGGAAATATTTTGGTTAGACCAACTGAAACGATCGCACTTGTTTCTCTGGCAAGCAATCTTGATATTTGATATTCAAGTGTGATCTTATTAAAAATTTAAATTGTGCTCGTGAAATTAAAGAGGAAGACGGAATCTAAAAATTTGTATACGATGGCTCGAATATTAAAATTTGATGAAAATATGAATTCATGGGAAATAATGACTGCACGAGTAAACAAATACTTTCGGATTAAATCACATGATCTACGATTAATATGAGAAATCTTTTACTTCTAATTTATAATACAAATGACTTGGAGATTTTGATATAAAAATATAGAAGATAAATGATATTAATAATAAAGCATTTAATAGAAGTTGAGTAAAGGGAAAAAGTAATGAATATATGCATACTCCATAGTCAAGGTAATTTGACTATATATAAAATCAAATTTATAAAAGATGGCTTAAAGCACCATTACAAAAGTCGCCACCCTTGCGAGCCAATAAAATTACAAGGATAATGATGATGAATAAATGATGATGCTAATAAAAATAGCGGTAGCGACATAAAGTACTCGATTTAAACAAGATTTGAGTCTTCCGTTTTAAGTTTTCTCTTTAATTCTTCATGTCCTTGCTTAAGAAGCTCTTGTTCACGGGATATAAGATTCTTTTCACGAACAAACAATTCGTTTTCTTTGCGGATTTTTTCCAAATCCGCTACAAGCAATCCGTTTTCTACGAGAAGTTTTTCCAAATTCGCAACATTTGATGCAACTGTCTTTATTGATCAATTTGAGATTCCTGGAACTTGTTTTCCGCCTCATGAAGCGTATTTGCTCGTACGAACTTTCGACGTTCCGATCATTATGATTTATCAAAATTTCAATCTCTTCCTCTAATTTCCTATCCTTGCTTCCTCTTTTCTTCTTGTTCATCCTGTAGGTGTCTTCGGATTTAAATGTAGATGAAGACAATGATGATTCTTTTCTCTTCTCCAATTCCTCTTCAAACCCCGATTCTCATCCTCTGATTGTTTTGTTTCCTCCAACTTCCTCTTCAAGCTTTTATTTTCCTTCTCCGTCCCCTCCGATCGATGTTTTAACATTTCATTCTCATTTTCTACCAATGTCAATCGTTCATTTGTTTCTGCTGACGAAAAATTCTGCATAAAATGATTGTTGTTTAATTCTTCTGGCGCAATTGTCCAGAATTCTTCTCTTCGAGTATGCTGAAATTTCTGATCTTTACGAGAATATTCTGCTTGACTATATTCGGGTTGATGATGAGAAGAAAATTCTTGCTGATTTGAAAAACCTTGATGATGATATGCGATTGTTGTTTTGGTAATGTTTGTTTACTAGCATTATTATTATATTCTGGTAGCGTACGATAATTATGAATCTGTTCATGTCGTTGCAGCTGATGATGATAAACAAGATTATTATCTGGTGGAGTCAATGGATCATTTGCCATCGATCCAGAAGTGCTAGCAGAGCCCGCGAAGACAGCAGACATAGTTGACGAGGTGCTTGTCACTGACGTTCTTTGATAGGCGTTTTTTCGTTAGAGATGACATTTGTGTTGTTCCGTTAAAATTTGTAAGCTACAGTGCGAAATTAATAACTAGCTTGTTAATCTTCCTAATAGAAGTCAAATAAACGAACAATCCGAGGTTGTTTGTAATTCAAAAAAAGTGTTGAACGAAGTTACTCGTATTTATTGGGTAGAAAGATAGTCAAGTAAAGAGTTTTAAGTGCGAAGTATATAAATCTCATCGTGAACTCTTGTCTGATATGAGGATTTGGGAAACTGCCCAAAGAAACAACAAAAAACGGAATACAAATTCCTCAGCACAACAGCATCTTAATATATATCAAGCTCAGTCTAACTCTATAACCAGTCGATATGTGGCAGAAAAGAATGGAGTGACTAGAGTGATAGTAATTATTATTGTTAGTATATTAACGTTAACGCCTATCTTGATAAAGATCTCGTGGGAATTTCCAAATTTCCGTTGTTGTGTGACGTAACGCTTATCAATCATCTCTAGTAACCCCCTCAAATTCTGTTTGATATGCAATATACTATAGCAAAATCTTAATTAAGAATGTATTATTATAGTACATTTATAAACTCATCAGAAAGTTCAGATCGTCCAAATGGTCCTAATGCACTAATTCTTTGACAAATAAACCTTTAATAATAAACTACAAATTAAAATAAAATTAGATCAAAATCAAAACAATAGTCAAATCTCTTTATAATCACTGCACTTGTAAAAGCAAAATTGGATGATTTTAAGAAGGTATTACTATAGAGATTTTTTTAATTATAATTAATTAATAACTGGAAAACTTAAAAAGGGTGACTTTAAAAATTATTATAGAATATTAAAATTAATATATAAATATAAAATATATAAAAATTTTTATTTAAGTTTAAATTATTTGATAATATATCATTATAACTTATTCTTTACTATTTATTAATAAATAAATTAGATTTAATATAATTAAAAATAAATTAATTTGTTATAAAAAATATAAAAATAATTAAACTAAATAATAATTAAATAATTTAAGTTTAAATAAAAATCTAAATAATTTTTATATATTTTATATTTATATATTAATTTTAATATTTTATGATAATTTTTTTATATTTTAAAAATGCTTTTAAAATTATTATTTATAGCCAATTTTTTTTATTAAAGTTATAATAATATATAGTCAGACCTCTTTATAGTCATATTTCTTTATAGTTATCTTTTTTTATAGTCAACTTTTTTAAGTTTTCCAATTACTAATCAACTATAATTAAAAAAAAATCTCTTTATAATCACATCTCTTTTTAGTTATCTAATTTTGCTTATTCAAGTATAATGATTATAAAGAGATCAGATTGTATTTTATTTTAAATTCTAATTTATTTATTGATATTTTTATTATATAAATTTATTTTTTATTAAAATTATATTTATTATTAAATTAATATTTTATTAAATTTTTCTTTATTATTTAAAATATATTTAATTATTTTATTAGTTTTTTAATTTTATTAGCAGTTCTTTAATATTTTTATTAGTTTCTTTAATTTTTTTATTAATTATTTTTATCTTTTCAATTTTTTCTCTTTAATTTTTTTATTTTAATATATTTTTTTAATTTTTTTATTTTTTTATTTTATAATTAATTATTTTAATTTAAATATTATTAAATATTTATAATTTTATTTTTTTAAAAATAAAAATCAAAAAAAATATCAAATAAAAATATATTATTTATATTAATATTAAGATTTTATTTTTTTATTGATTTTATATATATATAGTAATAACTAAAAGTAATGATTCAAGAGACTAAATTTACTAATAAAATAAAATGAAAATTAAAATTTTCTCTCTATATTAAAATTTATAATTTTAATAAGAAATAATTTTTATTTTTATATTAAAAT